TTGATAAGTCTAGTTTAAAAAATATTTACAAATTGTACTAAAAAAATAAAAGGCATTTTTGAAAAAAATTAGTGGTAGTAGTTTTATAATTGTTCATAAAACTTCGTATTATTGAATTATATTGAATTAGATATAAGGTAAGTAAAGGGGTATCCATAAACAGTTTTGAAAGTGACCATTACTAGTAGAGGTGTCCATAACACATCAAGTATAACAACCTTAAATTAAAAAATATAACGAAATAATTTTGTGGTTGGATTATTCTTTACACGGGGAGTAACAAAAATATATCATCACATCACTTAAACAATTATCGTTAACGTGTTAATTGTTGATAACATAAAAATGGCTTAAGGGTGTCCATAAATGCTCATCTATTCTAATAAACAAATCCGATTTATTTCAATGGCTTGAGAAAAAAGTTTAGAAAAAAAATTTAATAGCTGCTGCTAATACAGATAGTATGACCCTTGATTTTTTTTCTTGTCCATATGATGTTATTCTTGAGTAATCTATTTATTTACAAATTATTGATAAATATTAATAATAAAAACAGATTTAATCAAAATATATGTATTATATGTTCCTCACATAATTTAAAAATTCTCTTATGCTGCTCATAGGCTCTGTAAATAAAATAAATTAATGGATGTTTACTGAGCGGTTTATGTTAGAAAATAACCAATTTAAATTAAAAAACAACATGTTATTCATTTATCGTCACTTATATTGCATAAAATATTGTAAATATTTTAATGCGTAATTTTATTTTATTTTGTTTATCGCGAAATACTTTAATCTATCTAAATTAAGGACATATATGATAGACTTCAGATACCACATTCACACAATATTTACAAAAGCAGATATAAATAAAGTAATGACAAAATAATACACAGAGTTTTAAAAAAAAAAATATACATACATATATATATATATATATATATATATATATATTGTATTGATAAATAATACATTTTGCCACACTTAAGGGCACTGAGTACTAAAGTACTAAAGCTGAGCCAGGCATATTCATACTATATATACAAAACAATATAAAATAAATAAATAAATATATATTCATACAACAAAGGCAAAAACAAAAACAAAATAAAAAAATACAGAAATTCTCAGTAAATTAAATAAATTATAAGTAAAACAAATAAATAGATAAAAAAAGAAAATATTCATACTTAATTACAATATTTACAATCAGCCAAGGGAGCTCCGAGTCCAGCCCTTTCCTCACGTGTGAAGGACAAAGCGAGACTCTAAGAGATCCCAGCGCTTCTCTCTCAGCCGCGTCACCGGCATTGGAGTCCAGTGGAGACTGAGAGAGGGCACAAAAGCCAAGATATATATATGCTAGAAAATAATATATAAAATAAAATGTACTTTAAAAAAATTAAAATAAACATTTAATACGTAATAGAAAAATTGACCAATTATGCAAAATATGTCTTTGTTCCTTTGTATAATTTATGATATAAATCTGCAAAACTTAAATTTAAAGTTTTTTTTCAAATAATTTCAAGCTTTTTGGTTTATAATAATAATTATAAATAAGTCAATGTATTTTTTATTTGTCAACAAAAAATTCTTACTCATTTACCATTTTTTCGCTCTATAAAATAAAATAAATAGATAAGTAAAAGAATCGAGAAACTTATGTATCAATTTTTCCCAAATTATCTCTTTAATCCAAAGTAATTTGTTGATTGTATCTGCTAATATTATATATGGTATTAATAATTAGATTATGTCTTTTTATTTATTTATTTTTTAAGATTTAGATCCAGTGGTATAAAACGGATGTATTAACACTAGTGAAATTGCTGTTTGGTATATTCAACTACTGATAAACTAAACTTTATAACTAATTATGTTATACTCAGTAATTAACTCTGTATAATCTGTAATTCATATAATTAATTAATTTCAATAATTAGTTTTGAATAGAATAACAGATATCTATTAATGTTCATGATATGATGCGTTCATGTATTGTTAATAATAATGTATGTTAATTAATAATTGTAATGGATTAGTCCAAGCATTTATGCACAAAGCTCTATATTGTAACATATCAACTTACGGCCATGGGTGCTTGCAGGTATTTCTCAAGCATACAAGAAAGGAAGGAATTAAATTAATAATCATTGTTGCATTCTGTAGAATAATTCGCTGTTTTTTCTTGGGATAAAAACTATCGATTTGGTTATTGACCTGATTAAAGTAACTGGTGGAGAATAATATGGAGAATTATGAAAGAGTAAATCGTAAGCCAGTCCTTTGATGTATATTGGTTTGCTGGGAGTGTCCGTTACTTTTACCTATAATTTTCAATGAATAAACATGTACTATCCTAAAAGATAAGTTTTCTCACCGCTATAGGTTTAGTTCTGTTATAAGACGGGTTTCGCAATTGCATTCGACGTAACATTTCAATCGATATGTTGTTTCGGAGTATTTATATTTAATTAAAATAATTTTAAATATAAGCTTGCACAGTGCCGAAAATTCTTGTTCCGGCCATTCTATTATATCTAATACATTGCATATTAAGAAGAATATAGTGATCTATTTCAAACTAATTACTTTTTAATTTAATTTTTTATTGAATGATATAATATTTTGTTTCATCGACATTTGTTATGGAAATAGGAAAGTAAGATAGCATTCAAGCAATACAAAAAAAAACAACTATAAAATAAATAAGAGAAAAATAACTAAATAATTGTAAAAAAGTACGTACAATAAATAAAATAAAATAACTTAATGATAAATAAATTATAAAAAACTAAAACTAAAATAAAATACATACATACCTATTAGTGTTGCCCAAATGGAAGACCAAGACTCGTCTCGGTCTTGCGGACTAAGTCTTGATATTGGTATTGGCTTTGCGCAAGAGTCTCGTAACCGTCTTGCCGTTACTTATTAGCTGATTACTATAGAGACATTACCGAATTTTTCAGATAGGAGAAACCTAACTGAGCCGAAATGAAAAATTGGAATAGTTAAACGCAAAAATATTTTGTTTATACCAATTATTTACATATAATAGCTGAAATCGACGAGTATTTTGCCTAGTAACTATTTTGCCTTAATTTTTATTTACAAAAAGAACTTTATTGACCAGTCTTAGTCTTGGTCTTGCAACGGTTAGACGGCCTTAGTCTTGATCTTGCAAAGTGCAAGACCAAGACCGATTTCGGGCAACACTAATACCTATATACACTATGTATAATCTGGTGAGAGAACTCCAGGGCAGGCTTGTCCCTCCAACAATGGAGAAAAAAACAGGACTCCAGGAGATCCCAGGACTGTTTCACTGATACTAAAGGCAGTGGAGATTGATCGTGATTGTTTTAGCAACTTTATTATGTAACAATTTGACAGCTCTCAGAAAAGTAATCCTGCTTTTAGATATATTTTCCTTTTAACTTTAATTAATAACCTTATGTAATTAATAAAAAGAAATCGAAATAGTTTCATGTATTATGTAGTATATTTTCTGTTTGTATACCACTATTTATTAATATGAAATAGTATTCATTTGATTAAAATTTAAATTAAATTTTAAGTTTGGTGGATTCCTATCTTTAGAAGATAAACTAAAAGAATCCGACGGACAGAAATTTAGATTTATGTTTTACGAACCATAGATTGACTCTAGGGTAGATCATAAGTGTGTATCTTGATAAAATAGGCAGTTTTGATATTGTGACTATAGGGTCAATTTTTCGATTTAGGATAGAATTGCTCGAGTTAAGCGTAAAACCATGGATGGTGGGGGACAACGATTTCTGTCCGGTATGTAACTCTCAAGAAAAAGAGGTTGTCATTCACTTTTTGGGGACTTGTCACATGTTGAGTGAGTTAAGAGAGAAATGTTTTGGGCAGCAGACCTATTCTCTAGAAGAATTATTTGGTCTCTTAAAGGGTTCTAACAGGAAAGCCTTAAGCAATTATGTACAGCAGGCCACATTGCAAAGATCTCAATTAGTCAGATAGTAAACTACTGATACGATATTTATTGTAACTTTTGTTTAATTGTTATATTGTATTTGATGGTTATTATTATTGTTATTAAATTTAAAATTCTTATTAATTGGATTTGTATTAATGTTTGTTTTTTGAAAACTCTATATAAATAAATGAAACAGTTAAGAAGAAAATGGCTAAAATGGATGTTTAAAAATATAATAATACTGTAGATATATTATTGCTCATTTATTTTAGTTATAAATGTAATGAATAATTATTATTAATCACACACAGACCTCGACAGACGGAATTTTCCATTGTCTATGTGTTGTTGCTTGTATGTATATATATATGTGTATATATATATATATATATATAATTATATATATATATATATATATATATATATATATATATATATATATATATTTACTTTATATATATTTTTTAAAAGTACAATAAACACGTTTTCATTCATTCATTCAAAATAGGTATCTAAGACTTTACCTACTCTTTTGTAGGTGCTGAAACTTTTGGTTAAAAGAAAATTCTGGTGATTAAGTAGGCACGATGACCAAAGCATTGCATAGTTCGAAGAAAAGAGGCATGTATTGTCATCAGTTGACTCATATTCTATCATAATATATCGTTGGAAATAAAAATTCTCCCTCAAATATTGTTCTTGATATTCACTCAAAGTTATAAAATCTACTCTACCTTTTAATCACACAATTTTTTCTTAAGATTTGTTTATACGTACAACATTAAATATCATAGAGCTTACGAATAAAAAAGCGAAATATATATAAGTAAAATACTAATAGAACTGTAAAAATACATATAAAACTAAGAAAATGAAAAAAAAAATTAGAAAAATAATCTAGTATAGGGCATTGATGCAATATTTTATCCAAGGAAGATTTGCCAAAAAAAAAAAAAAAAATTCTCAAGTTTTAAAACCTTAACACACCCACCAGCTGATCGATGTGTCAGCAAGGTGATCCACATTGGGCACATATATAAAAAGGGACAGCCTAAACCCTTGACTATAGGAAATCACAAGGCTTCCAATCAACAACCAGAAATGGCATCTTACAAGACTCTGGTATATGTTTATTTTGTTTTAATTATTTTTAAAAAATAGGAATAGAAATTTGATATAGCCAATATATTTCACAAATTGTATTGTCAAGATTAAATATATTTTACAGTTCGTCCTCTTCGTGGCCCTCTTCGCCGTAGCCTTCGCTACCGAAGAAGCCCGTGGTAAGAGAGGAGTCTTCTATGGTGGATACGGTGCCTACCCATACTCTTCCTACGGATACCACGGTTTGGGTTACTCTGGTCTTGGTTACTCCGGCTTGGGATACGGATACGGTCTTGGCTACCACAGTGCCGGATACTCTGGTCTTGGATACCACGGTCTTGGCTACTCCTATCTCCACTAAATAGCGGCAAGGTATTCCAGTGGCTGACTTTCCTCAAACCCAAGTCCGAAGAAACTTTGGATATCAACTTTACAGACCATCCATAAACGGTACTTGTAAATAGCTATTTGTGAGCATTTTCGAAAATCAGAATAAACCTATTTCTACAACTTAATATTTTTTTTATTTTTTATATCCCTGATTCATTAATTTATTTTATTTTAGATAGTGTTTATTTTAAGTGGACTGTATTGATTTGATCCTAATTATTTTAATATTGAGTCAGGTAATTAAGTTTTAACAATATTTATATAAACATAAGATTTTATTTTTCATACAAATCGCTTTATTTATTTCTAATTGTTAGAGGTACTAATAAATCATTCAATAACACGATGGAATGTGCACGGTTAAAATGCGGGATGATTTTAAATTATAGTAATACGGAAATGTTCCCTCGGAATATATTACATATTTTATCAATTTAATTTTTCATGGAGTGTACAATATAATTCATCTTAGAGGAGGAAATAAATATTACAACACTTATTTAAAAATTCTACTGTTAGTTTTAAAATAGTAAACATAGTTTTATAGAAAAGTGTTTTTTTTTTCTATAATATTGCAACATCAATTATACGATGACTAATTACGATATCAAATAATTACGAGTAACTAGTCCCATGAAATTTATTTACCTAAAATATAGTTATCGAAAATCATTGATAACAATATTAATATTTCATTAAGCAACTACTTTTTTAAAATTTATTTATTTAGACATATAATAATCTGTCTCGTGGACAATAATTATAGTGATATTTGAACCCATTCACACCATATATACAGTAAACATGAAATTAACAAAAGTAAAATAATAACTAAATAATAATAAAAAAATATATGTACAATAACAAATAAAATAAATTATAGATAATTAAATTAAAAACATAAAAACACAGTGAGACCTATATACAACAAGGCAGGGAACCCCAAGCCAGGTTTCTCCTTCCAACTATAGAAGGAAAAGCAGGACTCTAAGAGATCCCTGCGCGTCACTGGTGCTAAAGCCAGAGCGAGAGCGCTTTAAGCAGCTAATTAAGTTTACTTATTATATTTCAAACATTTACAGAAAATCATAAAAAAAAATAATAATAATTAAAAGAGATAGAGGGCGTTTTTTGCTTACCTCATATTAATATAAGCTTCAACGAGATTTAATATACATGTTCAGATACAAACATATGTATAGTCATGTATATACAAAATTGATAGAGAGTACCTGAGTACAAAAACGTGTATACCCAACGTTTTATGGGCCTTGCGAGCGCAGGTGTCTGGCGGGACTGCTCGACAGAGCTTATGTATGAAGGTTTTGAGGCCTACTGTCGTAGTAACCCTATAATAATTTGTTCTGACTGGTTTAAATTCCTTAATGAGTTTTATTTATTTTTTCAAAAATAAATAAATAAGAGTTCCTATGTTTCTTTATAGTAGTTTTTATTCTGAAATGGGCATAGTTTTTCTATTTAGCTAATTAAAGAAAGAGTTATATAATAAATATCCAGGTGAACATAATTATCGCATCTTAGAATTTTCAGAACATTTATCTTACGACAGTTCAATTTATAATCATAGCAATTTATTAAAAATACATTTAATTATGGAAGATATTATTTAATATTTAATTTATATATACCTCGTCTTTCCTTCCACGAGAGAGGGAAAAGTCTTGGCTTGGAGACCATGAATGAATGAGACCCTGTTTCACGTCAAAGGGTAAATGTGATGTGCTGTGATTTGTCTTGATTTAATCGGATTTTCCAAAGTTCGAACCAGTCATGTAATATTTTTAAATACTGTTGTATGGTCTGTGAGGCGTATGTTGGACTTTTGTGTCTTGCTAAAATTGCTGTGTCTCCTTCATATGTCGCTGTTAAAATGTTGGTACTTCAATGTGTGTCATAGGTGAATGTGATACAGATTAGTGGAGCGAGTTCTGAATCTTGGGATTCTCCTGCTGCGATGAAAGGAAAGCAGAATTAGGCAGTAGGTAGCTTGATGTATTGTCATCCAGAAACATTCAGAAATACGCCAGTCGCATGTAATTTTCGCTCTAGTGCTGTAAATATGTAGTTGGTATATAGTTAAGGGAAAAACCAAATTGATGGTCAGGTATTATTTGTGTGTTTGTTAACATATCAACTAGTCTTTTGTAAACTTTCGAAAATTTCGGAACAGAAAAAAAGTAAGCAGATTAGACGGTATGAGAAAGGTGAGTTTTGTCCTTGTTAGGCTTGTGAATCATTGTTATGTGTGAGTATTTTCATTGTAGTTCGAATTTAGTTGTTCTCAGTATTGCATTATAAATAGTTGTCTAAAGCACTAAAGCTTTTCTAGGCATTTGGTGGAGCACTTAAGCGTTAATCAAGTCATGCCCAAGGAACTTTTGTTTTAGGCAACTTTCTGGTTTGTTCAGCAATCTGCGAAGGTGTGAAGGAAATAGGTGGTGAAGATAGCTGTAGGGGCTCGTCTAAAAAAGTGTTTAGTACATTGTTATCGTGCTCAGTATTTATGAAGTCTGTGTGTGGTATAAAAACAGAAGAAAGGTATTCGGCAAAGAGTTTTGATTATTCTCCGTCGGTCACGGTCCATGAATCAATTTATATATTTAAATTAATTTTTTGAAGAAATTTAGAAATGTAATAATTGTTGAAATTTCTACTAAAATTAACTTAGTAGCTTCGGCATGAATTGTATTGATAATAAGCTTTCAAACGTCCTCAAATGGGTTACTAACGAACTCCTGCGGTTTATTCTGTTACACTTCAGTAGCAGCTGTTTCCAACTTTTCAAGTGCTAGGGATGGTATTCTGGTAGCTCAGACGGTGCTTGAACAGTATACTCAGACAGTGCTTAAACATATATTAAGGGATTAATTACAAGGTCAATATATTTCAGTGCCCACTTCAGGAATATGATCGCAAACTCCTAGACCAGGGTTTCTCAAACAATAAGAGGTTTGTTAAACACAAACACACTGTTTTATTTATTTTTTTATAGCAAATTTGATTAATTGGAGTCATCTGATCATGAAATAAGTATTTGTAAAGGAAACTCCGATTCGAAATTTTCCACAATCGCAATACTTTTTATCACAATATATTTCCTAAATAGATATGTAATAGTAAAAATATCTCCTCTTGAACGTATAAAAAGGTTTTAACCTCAACTTTTTATAGCTTGTCAAACCATTACGGGAACGTTATTGGGTACTTTCAGTGGTACGCGTACCATAGTTTGTGATCCCTTGACCTAAATATATCAAACCACGCTATGACCTATGTGAAGTCTTTTTTTTTCATGCAGAGAATCCTAGGCAAATGTTCCTCTGAGTATTCCATTTACCTCTAAAAATTTATTTGTTTATCTAAGAGTTTTCCCACACGACCAAAAATTTCGTAAGGGCTTCAGAAGAAAAAGTGCCCCAGAACATGCTTGAACCTTCTTGTAATGCAATGAGTCTGGTCATACGGAATGATCATATCGTTCATATGACCGTCTACCACTGAAAACAAGGTCATATGATGAACTAAGACCCACTTTCACATAAGTAAAAATAACTCGTTCCAGTTCCCCTAACTCTTGTATGTATAGCAAATAGAGTAACCCTATTTGTTCTTCTAAAGTAACCCTTAGGCTTCTCAAGGTCTTAATAGAAATATAAATTTTATGACTTGAAAATTTTACTTGATCGACTTCGAAGTTGATAAGAGACTTTATAGTCTCATTGCTAATAAGCCTGTCATCCAATGGCTATTGGACCTCAATCTCTTTTGATCTTACCTCCTACTGCGGAATTCTTCCTTCTCAATCAGGGATTGGTGATTTGCTGAGTGATAAATACGGGGTCTCCAGACAACATCGTAATGGTTGTGTACATTACTATAGTGTAACAGATATTTCAGATTTGTATTTACTTCAAACCTTTGTCCTTACAAGTTCCACTCAGTTAATAGAAGACCAGATTAATACTACTCATGTATAAATCTCCAGAAACTAACTTAAATATTGTAAGTAATACCAAGAAAAAATAGACGGAAATAAAAAGATAAACCAGATATTCATGTTGAAATAATAATCCAATTGAACTAAACTTACTGTTATAAACTTCCAGTACATTCTAAAAAAACGTTTTATATTAGGTCATGTAACTTATCATTATTACATGATGTATTGTCTATAAATGTAAATAAATGATGATTTCTAATAAAAAATAATATGTCATTGTTCCATAAACATATATAAAAGTCCTGATGTTTGTGTATGTTTAGACATTCGTAGTGATGATGTGTTATATCTCACTGTTGATTTTTTGTCTTTTTAGACAATTTAAATATACAATTTAAATCTAAAAAGACAAAAAATCAACAGTGAGATAAAATACATCGTTAATTTTTTCATAATATGGTATATATTGCATCCTCAATGCGATACCATATTAATAAAAAATTAACGATTTTTAATTCAAACGACTTGGTGTAATTAATTTCATTTAATGAAATACTGACTTGAACAAATAATATATCGTTATGAATCAATCTCCCTCTAATAGTTTTACTGAACAGTAAAGTCAAGTGAGCTTTTATATGATCATAAAGATTTTAATAACTTTTTCAAACGTTAATTTTTTTTTCATTGAATTGAGGGTACAATTGTAGTGATCAACTCTTTTCTTTTATTGTTTTTTTTTCTTTAACTAAACAAAACTAGGCACGAGGGCATGGAAAAATAGATCTTTAAGATATTAAGTAACAATATCAAATAATATTAAGTACTAATCATTCAATAAACTGATAGTTAAACTTTTGAAAATTATACGATGTAAAGTTAAAATAAGTGGACGAGTTCTCACGAGGACGATGAATGGCTTTCGGGCTACATGCCCCACCCATCTTAGCATCCGTCCCTTCATATCATGAGTTATTGATTGAGCAGTTTTTGTAAGCTGCTCTTTATTGAAGTGAAAACTTCTTTAGGCGCGTTTTACACTTTTCGATCTCCGATCTCCGCTGTGTAACGCTCGGGTAATGTCGGCTGGAATCGACTAATCAAAGTATTTTTGTTTATAGATTAAAATATCTTGAACTACTAAAAATTCAAATTGTTACCAAG